TTTTGTTCACGTCTATATTGATGACCTGCTGATCGCATCATCAAACGTAGATGAACATTATCAACACCTTACGCTATTATCCCAACGTCTTTCGGATAATGGAATAGTAGTCAACCCAGAGAAATGTGAGTTGGGTAAATCAGAAATAATATTTCTGGGTCACATCATCAGACAAGAGGGTATTCTGCCTTGCGAGGACAAAATTCGAGCAATCAAGGAGTACAACGTGCCGTCCTCAATCAAGGAACTGAAGGCTTTTCTCGGTTTGGTTAACTTCTGCCGACGTTTCATCCCTTATGCGGCAGAACGGTTACGACCATTAACCGATTTACTACGCTGTAATCCACGCAAATTAGAATTGAACGATACCGCACGTACTGCATTCTCAGAGATCAAAACGGCTCTCACTGAAGTTACACTTCTCGCTCATCCTGACCCATCAGCCACGCTTAGTATAGCGGTTGATGCATCGGATTTCGCTATAGGAGCCGTTATGCAACAGAATATCTCCGGTAGTTGGCAACCGCTTGAATTTTTCTCACGACGCCTTACTCCCACGGAGACGAGATATAGCGCTTTTGGTCGCGAGCTGCTTGCAGCCTACTGCGCCATCAAACATTTCCGGCACGCAGTAGAAGGACGCCAATTCATTTTGTTCACCGACCATAAGCCCTTAACGTATGCCCTGCATACCAAGTCTGACCGCTACTCACCACGAGAGTGCAGACATTTGGACTATATCTCCCAGTTCACGACAGACCTTCGTCACATTAAAGGCGAGTCGAACTATGTTGCCGATGCTCTTTCACGTATCCAGACGAATGCAGTTACTTTACCGGTGCTCGATCTTCCTGCTATGGCCGCCGCGCAAGCAAACGATCCTGTCTGTACAGAAGCACCACAATCTTCGTCCCTTCAGTGTCAGGAAGTACCCCTAGCTACTAGCTCAGGTACTATCCTATGTGATATTTCTACCGGTCTACCTCGACCCATCGTACCCTCTACCTATCGCCGTCTCGTCTTCGATGCCCTTCATGGATTGTCTCATCCAGGTATCGCAGCCACATTACGTCTCATCGCTGCACGATACGTCTGGCCGTCCATGAATAAAGATGTTCGTATGTGGGTAAAGCAATGCTTACAGTGTCAACGATCAAAAGTGCACAGGCACGTAGCTGCCCCCATTGGCACGTTCGCTACGCCTGATGCTCGCTTTGATCACGTACATATAAACATTGTAGGACCATTGCCACCATCGCATGGGTATGATCACATACTCACGTGCATTGACCGTTTTACAAGATGGCCCGAAGCTATTCCCATCACGTCTATCACGGCGGAGACAATTGCTCACCGCTTCGTAGAACGATGGATAGCATTGTACGGTTGTCCTTCGACTGTCACGACCGACCGAGGACAACAATTTGAGTCCGCATTATTCTCCTCACTGACCCGGCTGCTTGGTACGGAACGCATACGCACCACCGCCTACCATCCAGCATCGAATGGTTTAGTCGAACAGTTTCATCGCCAACTTAAAAGTGCTCTTCGAGCACACGAAAACGACAATTGGTACGAGACTTTACCGCTCGTTCTCTTAGGCATCAGGACGAGTTTGAAGGCAGATATCCAATGTTCCGCCGCTGAACTTGTATACGGCACGACATTGCGTCTGCCTGGGGAATTCTTCACACCACGGAGCAGTAATGATTTCGGTAAATCAGACTACGTCCATCGACTGTCTGCATTTATGCGAACGCTGTCTCCGGTGTCAACTCGAATACAACATCGACAGGTCGCTCTCCCTTGAGAGTTATCTACCTGTTCACATGTTTTCATACAAGTAGATTCGGTACGCAAACCTCTACAACAGCCTTACGAAGGCCCTTTTCACGTGATCTCTCGTCACGAAAAGACCATCAAGGTTGATCGATATGGTCGTGTCGAGATCGTCAGCATTGATCGTCTCAAACCAGCACACGTCGATGACAGTGCCCTACCCGATAACTTGAGACTCAATGCTAGACCTATCAAACCTACTAGCGGGATCTCTACGTCTACCTCGGATCCCACGCTAGATACATCAGAGACCTCGTTCTCACGTCCCGGTCAACAGCACGCGTCATCTGCACCATCTACGGACGAGACTTCCGTCTCACGTCCAGATCGGCAGACCACGCCGCCCTTGACCTCGGATGAGATTGCAGGCTCACGAAGTACGAACGAGACCACCGTCTCACGTTCCGGCCGCCGAGTACGATTACCCGTACGCTTTCGCGACTAAATGCAGTCAATAACGGATACGGTGTAGGATTATTCCTATACTACACGCATGCTACACTTTTCTTTTTTTGATTTTTTTTTGTATCCTGAGCCCACGCCTCCGACCATCGTCCATTTGATAACGTCGACTTCAGACAACTTTGGCGAAAGCTGGTTTGGCCACCCACGCTCTAGTCAACGCACTCAGTCGATTATCTGGTCTCGAATCCGCCTGGCATATGCTTGGTAGTTATGGTCGCGTCCGGTTTCTTGGCTCAACGTGGTTTCGTCCTACGTCTGCAGCGTTATCTGGTCCGCATCCATACGAACGCAATCATCAGATCCTGGATACAAACCACTCTGGTGTGGTATGTTAACTCTACCAACAAATACAGCACACTTCTCCTGGTACCGTTCTGCGCAAAAGACCTTCGTTGGCAACTCGAGGATCAACGATCACTTCCTGTTCCGCCGATTTCCTCCGTCCTACAACCGCAATTCTGCCGATCAGTCCCACGAATCAAACCGCTAACTATCGAAAGTGTAAACCCTTTCTAGCGGGGGGCTCCTGTAGTGACCTACTTTTGTCAACAGAACGCGATTGGATCGATGAAAACAATTATTATTATAACCAATTGTACCAGTGACTGTTTTACTGTGCTCGTTTGTTTAACTGTGCTAATAACAGCCATTTTGGGCTTCCATTGTATTCCATTGCCTTTACGCGGTTTTTGGACTACGCACGTATCTTATCTTGCCGATCGCAACTGTACTCCTTTGGCACGATCTCGGTATTCTTTCGATACCACGAGATCGCCAACAAATATATACGACTACTACAATCATCTGCCTTCTGATATTTTGGCCTATCGGAATTTTATTGGTCTATTGGCAAGTAGTCTGGTAGCGGTGTTCTTAGTCAAGCTCAACTCGACACCACGCTACAAAAGCATGAAAAGCATGACTATAAGACATATCACTTCTGTAAGCGTTCAAAAATGTCATATCGGAACAGATTCTTCAACGTTGTCCGTCATACCATCGGCGATCGAGGCATTGGCCGTTTAAGAAATAATTCGGTGATCATTCTGCAATACTAAGAACCCACCACAATCAAGAAACTGTTGATTTTTATCGATGATTCACGTCAAATAAAACGTGACTTCGGATACGTACTCCCCTCGAGAGTCCCGACACATGTACAGCATCTCCATTTTTACTCCAGATATACATGTTTCTGGGGGTGAGACTATAGTCGCAAACCTCCTGCCTCTTACAACTTCTTTAAAAATTTTCCAAGGGATAGACCTTTTTAAGTACTTTTGGCTACAAAAAGAAAACACTGATATTCAGAATTAGTTATACTCGATAATCATGAAACTACGAACCAAACAAATTGAAACTGGTATGAAGATTTGATCATTTGGCTCAGACCATGAACCGCTGTTGGAACCTGACATTTTTAGCCATCTTACCGCACACCTGAGGATCACACGATCATGTTCTACTCATAAAATGGTGGTTTAGTAGAACTACCTCAAAGACGATCAAATCCCTAATTCTCGACTACAAGTGTATCACAGTAGGCTGATGCCTTTTTACTAGTGTTTCTTGGAATTCACAGTGCAATGAAAGCTAACGTTGGATGAACTGTAGCCCAACTCGTTAAGAGTAAAACATTTCGACTTTCAGGAGAATTCATGAATCCTCATTATTCAGCGAGTTCGGCTACAAACTCCAACGTACCTTGTTTACAAGCTCTGAGGGTTAAGTTAAATCTGCTCCCACTGGACTATAATCTATCGACGTCCCCGCCCAACCCGCTTTCCAACTTAGTACACACGTTTTCATAAGCTGCGACTCATTACAGTGATCCTATGAAAGCTGCACATAGAAGACCCTCAACAGTTCTTAGTACGAAGGGAACTAATGATAACATTGGCATCGACCGACTGAAGTCCATTTACTTGTAAGGTAATATTTTCACGACTGACTTTCCGTTTTTACTTTATGTAAATGTTAGAACAACACATATAAGTGAACAATTGTTTTCAATTAGATCATGATGAACATATAGATATACAATAAGTGAAATCGTATAATCTGAATCAATGGATCATAAAGATCTAGAAGTCATAATAAGTAACGACCTCAGGACTACATGCAACTGTAGAGTTAGCGCTGCTAAAGGCCTCAAAATCCTATGGTTTATTCTTAAGTCATCTCATTTCTTGGACGAATAAAAATGTGTGGCATTATATCTGACTTTTATGAGGTCTCATTTGTAACATGGGATTTAGGCAGCGATTCCCTGTTTCAGATATGAAGTGGACATGCTGTAACTATTCCAATGGTGAGAGCTCGAAATGGTGAAGAGTCTCAGTGCCTTCCCGTCAAATATCTCATGTTACGAGTTGATTTAATGCTGAATTACCATATACTGAGTGATGATCTTCGTGTTAATGTCCTATCTTTTCCTTTCATCTAGGACTGACCACACAAAGGACGTTCTCAGGAATTCCAAAAACCAAGATACGATCGTTTACGTCTAGAGTTTCATTTATGGGATTCTCTGATAAAATACGTGATATTGACACTTTATTTTGATAAATTAAAAGTGAGATTGGATCTACACAATACTACGAACTTCAAGGATTAATATAGATCAATTGGCTTTTTATTCTTAACACTAGAGACTGCTCTTAACTCAATGAAACCATTTAACGGACCTGTTGACCTTGTAGTGAATCGCGGTTGTTGTGGTAATTATGATTGTCATGTTTTGGAGCTCATTCTTGTATATTTCTCTTATGTGTGATACTGTCTATCAACTAAGCTACGACTATATAAAAACAACGCCGTATTCCCTGCTAGTTTCATTGGTAGATTCAATTCTGCCATGTTCAGTTTACCCTGATTTTCGATTTTATACTTGATTACCTCAAAATTTGTGATGTACAGTGATGACTACTCAGATACCACTGTCAAAATAGACATTATAATTCATGAGAAAAGGCACAGGGGAACTCGATCTGAAGACATCTTTCAAATGTAACTAATACTATTCACTTGATTCCCAGAATTGAGTCTGAAAATTTGACTTCTCATATCTGGAGGTTCGTCAACTCTTCTAATTGTCTTGTAAATACATTTATAATAGGTTCAAGATCAAAACAGGAGGTTCCAAAATAGTCCTCAACAGTTGTCAGTGCAAGTTATTATTCACATTGTCCTTCCGTTTATTTTACCGCCCTTTTACTCTATCTCGTGTCGTAAAAGTAACCGTGTGTTGCTATATCATTAACTTTTGCAAGTCCTTTTTCTGCTGTTACCCGACGATGAAAATTAGCATGTGACTGCACCTAACCAGTCTTACTTATACTGTCGTGAAATATGAACTTGCGAGAACATTTCGTGCCAGCCCGCTTTGACCTGAAGACCAGATAAAATGTCTTAGAGATGTTTTTGACTTGTTGTCAATTAGCCTGGTTATCACCGCCATCTAAGATGTAAGCAGACTGTCGAATAAACCATCTAGCTTATAAATTTGCCCATTATATCATGATGATATATCTAATGCTTCCAGTACTCCAGTTTACTAAGAAAACTATAAGCTTGATAATCTGCCACCAAGCTCTCCAGATCCATTATCAAATACAGGCGTTTTCTATATAAACATTTGCAGATGCGGTAGTTTCTAATTTGTTTAAAATTACTTGCACTTTTGAGAATCTATAAGATCGAAGACAACTTCAAACTTGACTTACTCATTCAAAACCTTGCTGCTAAGATGCATTTGTTGATGTACTAAGCGGCGGTAATAAGTTTACCTTAATTGAACGTACTTGTTGTAATAATAGGCTTACTTCGCAACTGGAGAAATCGGTGTTTTTAGTAGTCTGAACTTCATATATTCAACGCGATTGTATCCAGTCTGGATCTTCACGACATCAACAAAATGACACAAGTACTTAGACTTTCGCCGTACTGCATCTCTACAAAAAGTTAACAGTAACGATACACTTACCGTTTTTTTTCTGTCTTTGGGAGCGATGTGTTTTCATCGTGCAAATTAGTGGTCTTTTGTCCAACTAAATTCTTAAATGAACGAACCAAATTAGATGCAGTAAAAAGCTTTTATAAGAAAGTTATTAATGTTTGTAGCTAGCCGAAATATTCCAAAACGACACACTTGATAATTGACTAACTCATCCATATCCATGTTTTTTTTTGTTAATTCGATGTCAACTAAGTTACCCGAATACGTCCACAGTCGGACTTCGTTCGATTACATACTCATGATTCCTGATCTTATTCAGTTTTGATGAATTCTCGTTTTTCTGTTAGTTTTGATCTTGTCTTTCTCATTTTTCTTTCTGCTAATGTCTTGTTGGTTTTGGAGTAATGTGGTAGCTTGAATCGATATATATATTGGTGCCACGTTTATACATGCCTGTCTGTAAATGCAGCAATGTTGTACTAAGGATTTAGCATTGTTTTATGTTGTCTGAGAACAGCAATATAATAAGTTCAATCTTAGATCAGCTTCAGTCATATATATGTTGCTGCAATTTAAGCGACGAAAAAACTGTAACTGACATCAAAAAGGCTAGTTAATGGATAACAGCTACATCTCTAACCGGTAAAACTCAGTTACTTTCCATGAAATCACAAATAGTGGAATTGTACACACTGTAGCCACACTTGTTATGGACTATTACTCACTTACTGACAATTGAAAAATCACTGTAATCCTGGAGAAATTAAAGATCTGTGCAGTTTAAAACAATTCCTGGGGCTGATTATTTATAGGTAATGATAAACAGTATGGATCTCTTGGAAGGTGACAGAACTACTAGTTCAATGCTCTATGTTCACTTATTGCTATTTACGTGGATATGTAGTCGGTGAACTCAGTGAATTAATTGAATTAGTCTGATGTACCTTCGTCTTGGGATCTTTAAAAAAATTAAAGTCAGTTGATTTGTTCTGTGGTCATTTAACGTCAAACTTAGTGTTCAAAGATCAAATTTATCCCAGTATTGTAGAAACCATTACTCTCAAATAGTATTTGCGTGTGTATTAAGTGACTGAATCTCTCTTCACTACATTTTTGCCTTTTCATTGTTTTATTTTCACACGTTTTATATGGTAAATAACAAAACGTTCTCTATTTTGGTTGAAAACGATGTTTTAATGGGTTGTTTACAATTTATATTGTTTTTATGGTTTACTTAGCTCGACATGATGGACGACTCAGAAACCTACAAATTATGGCGAATTCGTAAAACCATTCTCAAGGTAATTTTACGGATCAGACGTTCTGATCAATCTTCACCTAGATGTGTAAAGATAGAGGTTATCTAGTAATGCCTAAAGAATTAGAGCAATCACTCGAAGATTTCAAAGCAACAGTCGGAGATCCACCAACGAGAAAGGATCTTCTCATGGTCGTTAACCATGAAGAAGATCCTGCTGACATGCTATATGTGTTCTTTCCAGAGGAAGAAAAAGTTAACATGAAGACTGTCCGTGCATATTTAAATCAGATGCAACAAGATAGTACCTACAGAGCAATTTTGGTCCTTCAAGAAAAGGGTCTCACACCTTCTGCGAAAACAGTTTGTTCTCTATTCTACTAAGTTTATTTATACATGTGTAGGCTATTGCGGAACTTTCGTGTAAATACACTTTGGAATGTTTCTTTGAAAATGAACTAATGGTCAATATAACGGAACATCAGTTGGTTCCGCAACACAACGTTCTCACACAGGAAGAAAAGAAAGAATTACTCGAAAGATAGTAATTCAATACATTTTATAATTCAATGAGAACTTAGTAGGTTAAAGGAAAATCAACTTCCCAAAATGCAAGCTAGCGATCCTGTTGCTCGATATTATGGTTTAAGAAGAGGTCAAGTTGTACGAATTACCCGGCCATCAGAAACAGCCGGACGATATATCACTTATAGAATAGTTTTGTGAATAAAATTGTGTACAGATTCTGAATTTTTGAAATTGTATTCTGGGTCTAAAGTCAGACGAATTAGATTAGTCCAAATTTATTAGTTGATTGCTGCTTTTATTATGTTATATTAAACAAATAGTCATTGTTTAAATGATCGTTAGAGTCTGAAAGAATTTATCTTATACTTTTAAAGTTTTTAAAACTGATCCAGCTGCAGATGTCACACTGAAGCGAAAAAAACCTTTCAAGTAGTTTGTACGATATTAAATAACTCTGACAGTTCTCTATACAAGTTGTGTTATGGTGGACAAAATTGAATAATCATGCGACTTCTATTCTTCCCCTTGATTACTCCTTTGTTACTCATAATCATGTTACCTTAGTGGGATATTTTGTGTACAGCTAATAACTGTAATATCTTAGTATATATTCACATAGTGAGTGAGCCACAGTAGTTCATTCTGCAGATATCTATATGGTTGTTGTTTGAGGTTCCATCTTGTCAGAAAACTGTCAGTTCTGTTATTTCATTTCAGTATTTAACTAAATCTACTTGGACAATGGCTTAGTGTACTACATGTTTTGGGTGATGTTTACAAGTTTTAGGAAGTCGGCATGAAATCCTCAACCCCTAGGTTCCATACAGGTTGGTTCTCCTTTAGATGTACCTAGAATCTTGACAAGGCTTTTTTCTTCTGCTAAATACAAACATCATTATTAGAAATGTTGCCATTTTACAGAATATTTTATCTCTAAACACTAGTATCAGAATAAACGTACTCTAAGCGTTTTTTTACCTTCAAAAGATTAGTCTTAAAACCACAAATAGGAATTCTGGGTAAAAGTTCATCAAGTACTATTGATCAATTGACCTGACCGTTCAATGTTTGATCAGACAAAATGTTATCTTCTGTTAACTGCCAAAGACTTACTAATGTAAGCAAAAATCTGAATTACTAAAACCACATATCCCTTATTAGGCGTTCCCCGGCTAACCGTAACGTGATTCATACTGAAATGTATACAAAACGGCATATATGAAGAACGATTACCGAGTAGAGATTTACTTCACAATCAAAGTGAGATGGTTCTACCTCGATATACGGAGTTCTTTCGGTGGTACATAATATATTAATCAAACAGTGACGTCACGTATTTCATATAATAATGAGAAAAATTGTAAAATACGGTAAGAAGGAAAATATTATCAATGCATACGTGTGTCTGTGTATATACATAAGAGAAATCGATACACTAATGTGATATAACAATGAAACAACAAAAAAGTTCCAGATAAAACATGATTTTATATTTAGTATACTACCAGTACTGGGATCAAGGACGCAAGCTGCGTTTTATTCGTAGATGGTCATCTGAATGTAACCACATCTCACTGTCTGATGCTGACGAGTCATAATATAGGATGAAATGCACATCGTCGATTCGTGTGACGTGCGACTAGAAATGTACCAAGGCAATGAGTAATTAGTTGGATCCTGAGCGCCAACAACGGCAAACCTATTAATAGGACATGACTTTAGTGATCTAGTGACAAAACGGATTAACATTCTCGATTATTGTTGTGTATGTAGCAGTGTTATATCTGGATGGAGAAATTCAAGAAATACATTTATTCACGTCTATATACAGACGACTGATAAATCTTGGTAAATAAGATAAAATGAGTATTTGGAACCACAGCAAAAAATTTAGTATTCCCAAATATATAGACTTCAAAAAGAACATAGAATGGCATAAGTCGAATTTCACGATTTTATCATATGGTTAGTTTTAAAACAATAAATCTCCATAGCGACTATTCGTTTTGTAACATCCTTTTTTTTCGATACTTCTTCATGTACGCATTTTAAACCATCATCATTCTTTCTACACTTTAGTAGGTCATAATAATGTAAGTTTGTGGTTGAGGCGAGTCGGCAGAAATTTTCGAACCTTAGTTTCATGCTAGTTGGGATTCATCAAAATGTGAGATTCGAACCCGTTTAAACTAGTGTGCTATAACCAGAGATATCACCACTAAGGTATTTAACCCATTATCGATCACTTGTAAGACTAAAATGTTTGCTCTAGTGTCTTAATCTTGATAGAACTCTATCGATTTAGTTGTAAAATGATTGCTAGTCTAATTATGGATAGATGTAGTAAGGATTACACGTTTTGATGAAAGTTAGTGGTTGGAAAGAATTTGTATGTAGTTCCGCACTTGTGATTGTAATAATAATAACGTCAAATAATTTCTCCTAGCAAAAAACCTATATGAAAAGAATTAATCCAGAGTATTTCACACTAAGCGTATAATGTTTATACTCAATGTGATGTACTAATCAATAGTATGTGTTTGATAGGTAATCCAACGAACAAAGAAATAGCTTTACAAATATGCAGCTCTTTTAAAACAAACAAAAGTAAATGAGATCAATGTGTTGTGTTTTTTGTTGAATAATAACAAAATAACTTATATAAATTTTATGTATTATATGGAAGTACGACTAAAGTGTCCTGTTAGTATGTGTAAGTGAGCATGGTTAGGGCAGTTGAATTTATATCTCTCAGTAAACGAATTAACATACGACAAACTGAAGTCGGACATGAAAGATACTGGCATAATAAGAAACATCGAACACGGTGTTATTGACCTAGTTAAAGCGGAACACATTCCTAAGTTCATTCGAATGGTCCGTCAAAGAAAAGAGGTATTCATTTGATTATCCAATCAGAAATAGGTAGACTGCATCATCTGTAGAGACCACTTGTATATTTGGAACATAATAAAATCTTGCCATGAGTGGCATGTCAGATTGATACAAGTCCTTTTGTGAACAGACATAAAATTCAATATGTATATGACTGTTGCATGAGTCACTATAATAATATTGGTTATTCTGTATACATCCATATATAGTTGATTATCACCTTTCATCTATGTACATTTTCTGCATGCATATCAATAATTCTATCCACCGTGCAAAATGTGCAGTTCCATGTAAACTGAAATATCAAACGTATTGAAGTATGACTTTACAGACACATTCCGTATTTGAGTTTTAAGTACCACCATTTTATAAATGAGGCCAGCCGAAGTACCGTATAAACCAAGTTGATATGGTTTGTATTTCACTTGTTGTCATCAATATTATCAAGAATCGAGTCAAAACGCAATAACACAGTTCTTCTACTGATGAATATTATTACTAAACTCTTACACTAGCGGCAACAGCAACAAAGTAAACAGGTTGTAAATACGTAATTTGTTAAAAAAGAAATCTGTAGGAAAGAAAAGTAACGAGTGCAAGGTATTGAAGAGAAAGTTCACATGACTAATCTTTAGGTTAGGGTCCACTAAGATGTTACTGCTGTGTCAGGATAGGCATATAGCAAAAGCGAACTATCGGAACGATTCCATCTGAAATTGTTTGTATTTTTCTTAAATAATTATTATATATTTAAACGATTATAGTGTGGTATCCCCCTACTTGCAAGTTTCTGTTTAACATAAAGATAATGGTTGTGCGTTTTACGTTTACCGAATTATTGTTAATTTGTTACATATCTATCATTCAGTCCTTCCTTTTGTGTCGTAGTTATGCTCATGTTTTGATTTCTTAGTTCTATTGATGTTTTATCAGGACTTCGCTTTATATCATACTATGAGTGATTCATATTATATAGTTAGACGTTATCTGCTTGCTGAATTGACCTCTATCCTGAATATCAGCTGAGTGAACGGGAGGGTGAAGAACACTATTCTGGACCGATAACCAATTAGCGCTACTCTTATCTGGCATCTCACATGTAGCGTGTCATTGGTAGTAGATAAACAGTCTAGGTGAGCTAATCGATACTGTGACTAGATCAGTACGACCTCTTTCCTATCTCACAGTTCGATCTCGTGAGGCGAAATAACTAAACAAGAAAATTTCTTGTTTTCAACCGATAACTCGATTCATAATATCAAAACAGTATTGACTGGTCAAAACATATTAACACCGATATTGATTCGAAGATAATCGAGATCAATCACTGGTATCAAGTAACCACTGAGTCCCAACAAAGTAGATCAAGTGTAACAATCAAGAGCATATGGTCGGATTTCCTGTGATATTTATAGTGCATATTTTTGAAGAATTCTAAAGAACTAGGACGATACACCTGATCAGTGCTCCTTCCGAAGTTCTTTGATTTGTTTCCGTTAGGGTTTGGGGTCTTTAATACTTAGAATTCTTACACTAAGAAAGCACAGCTGTCCATTGCTTTCGGGTTTATAATGATTATTTGACTAATCCTAATGGTGAAGTCAGAAAGGTTAAGTCATTTTTGAACCCACGTGCTTCGGTTCAAATACTTGAGATTCGTTATACTACTTGCTATTATTTAGTAGTTCCGCTCACATCCAGTCATTTTTGAAACTTGTGAAGTATCTCATTCTCGTATTATAATCAACTGTTATCTTCTTCCTATCTTATGCCTTCTCAAAATTTTTGTTTCCACAATGTATGTAATACCATCTCTAGCGTCTTTTCTCAATTTTCTCTTCATCTAAAAGTTGCCTTTTTCTCTCCCACAGTAGGTTGTTGCTGACGGTATCCGGCGAACGAACATTGAGTATCCTGCGTAGACAACTGTTTAGAAATACATGTACCCTAATGATGATGGTTTCAGTAATTCTCCAAGTTTTAGCTCCGTACAATAGAAATGTCTTGGTGTTGGTATTGAAGATTCTGACTGTTATAACTTGAGGCATTACTTTGTCTGATGTTGTAACGCTTAAACGATTATCTACACTAGATCCCTCCCAGTGTCTATTCTACAGGACTTCAACACAACTCAGATCAAGAACACGTAATCAGCCTGACCAGAACGTAATATATTTTTACACCCAAAACAGATACAATCCACAACAATGAACAATCAATAATAAGAGGATGTATATAAGAGTGTGTCACAATAATAAGGGTAAGGGAATATATAACTTATCTGACACCTGTCAGACTGTCTACATGTATGACTAAGCA